GATGACAACAGTTTATTATTTATGGAGACATCAGCTAAAACATCAATGAATGTAAATGAAATATTCATGGCAATAGGTAAGATTAACTTTTTTGCAAACAGTAAAAATATAGGTAGAGCAAGTTACACTGGGGGCATATTTGGTTTGACTGTCTTATTTTTAATTCTTGGAATTTTGTTTTGTTTTGTTTTTAATGATTATACTACTATCCTAGATTTCTTCCAGAAGCATTACTTTGTTAGGCATATTGTTAAATTTGAAAAATTATTACCCATTGGGTTGCAGTGCTTTCAGTTTAGTTAAGTTTCTTCTAGGTGAGTTGAAAGCCTGAACTTGGAGCTGATAGTTCAAGCAGATAGATTTTCTAAAGATTTCACTGAAAATTTTGGATAAATACATGTTTTTCTATTAGATTATAGTTCTTATATAAAAGGAAGATGAACTCAGTAATGTTTTTCAGTGCAACATATAGACATGATGAGATTTGTTTCTTACTGATCAATAACTATTTTCATCTCTCCATTGCTCTGAACACTATTTTTGTTTATTTTTCAGGTTCTTTTTAAATCATTGATTACTGACAACTATAACACAGACAAGTACATTGTACATACAGATTTAACAAATTGTTTTAATGCAAATATTGTAATGGAGAAAGTTTCAAAGCACTGAGGCACAGAGAGAACAAGGGAAAGCAAAACAATATCCAGGCTTTCTATTGCCTCGATGGTCATTTGATCCTACACTGTGCTCTTACCTTTCCTCTAAGTACTTTTAACTAATAATGATTGCTGTTGCACAGTCGTTGATTATAGGTGATGAAGTTGAAGCCTTCTTTCTTCTATAACAACAATTAAAATATTTTTATTGACCCTAGCCGCCTCCTAGTAGTTTTCAGGTGCAGATCCCATGGGAGGGGTCTACTGTGGTGGCTCTCACAGTCTGCTGCGTCCACAATGTCCGTGTGCCAAGCGCTCATCTCATCCCACAACATCTTTTATTATACAACAGTGATTATTAACTGGGGTGTCCACATCCTTGGTCCCAAATAAGTATTCTTTTATACCGAAGTCATACAAATTAACCAGTGAACAGCTGATTCAGAGGCTAAAGAAAACCCAATAAGAGCTGCAGGTACTGTCATACTATTTTTCACTAGGTGAGAGAGTTTAGTGGCAGCTTCATTTAGGGAAAAACTTGCCTGTGTAAAATATTTTCCTGAGAAACTCAGGCTTGCATTTTATTAGGGAAATACTAGCATAGTTGTGAAGGGTTATGAGACAAATATATAGTTGTTTTGTTTTTTTTAATAAATGGGACAGATCACACCCACAACCACATCTGAAAAGTTAGGAAACAAGGAGATAATAGGGCCTTCAAATCAGGCTGAACTTTTAAACCTTTCTGATGCTATTAAGACTCCACCAGATGGGCTTTATTTAATTTGTACCTTTTATTTAGACTTGCTAATAAGGTTATTTCTTTCAGTCAGAAAGTAGCCTACGTATTAGAGCTCTTATTTACTTTTCTAAAATTAGAATGTTTCTTTCCTTGAAAGAAACTCCAAGTGTAAATTGAGTTGTAACCTCTCCATTAGTAACTTAAATAAATCACACAGTGAACTCATATTTGTACTTTTTTTTTTTTTTGCGGTATGCGGGCCTCTCACTGTTGTGGCCTCTCCCGTTGCGGAGCACAGGCTCCGGACACGCAGGCTCAGCGGCCATAGCTCACGGGCCCAGCCGCTCCGTGGCATGTGGGATTCTCCAGGACCGGGGCACGAACCCGTGTCCCCTGCATCGGCAGGCGGACTCTCAACCACTGCGCCACCAGGGAAGCCCCATATTTATACTTTTGATGGGTTCCCAAGTAGAGTACACTTGTTTAGTAGGAGTCTACCATAAATTTATCATCTGCTTTTAATTTGATAAGGTCTTCAGTGGCTTTTTTCATTGCACATCTTCCTTAACTTGATTCAGGATTTTTAGCTTCTCACAGTCCTGATCAATTCAGGGTCAGGTTGGTAAGCTGCAGTTATCTATATACAAAGCAGATAGTACCAGCTTCGCTTTGGGTAGCACTCACTGAGATAGGAGACAGGAGACTACTTCTTTTGAGACCCCCTGAAGATATGTTGTAGTTCATCTTCACACAATAAAAATTAACCAATACAAGTTAAAGGTTCCTCATTCCAGTTTAATTCTTTCAACCTCCTAATTTCACTCAGATCTAATTACAAAAAGCCCTTGCCGGAAGTATGCCAAAGGGAGAGATGACCACTTAGTCCAAAACCTAATTTGGTATTAATTATAATAAAGTTTGTAATGTTAGCCTACTCTTTGTCCTGTCGGGGCTTTGTTTGTAAATACATTTGACTGGAAATTTACCATTTTATTACCATTTACAGTACCATTCCTAGAGCCATTCCTAGAGAAGTGGCCCAAGGGAACGCTTTTCTTCCCAAACCTCAGTGCTCCTGGCTCCCAGATCCATTGCCCAGCCCATATTCTAGGATTCTAAAGATGATTAATGCTATTGTGGAATATTACAACAAAGAAACTGTAAAAGATCCAGAACACAACTAGGCATTTAGATTTTGAGGTAGATCTTGTTCAGCTTTTGTGTAACCTCACAGCTAAGGTAAAGCTAGAGTCTTACCTCAATGATGTATCCCCAAGGCTGATAGAAACCAGTGTGTCTAGCCACCCTTACAGTCGGTGCTCTTAGAGATATTTAATGTTTAATGAATCCCAACACATCAAGGATCTTTGGGATCCAAGCAGACTACATCTAGCTGGTACATTTTCTCATCAGTGGGAGCCATACTCCAGAGAACAGCTGTTAAGCTCCATAGAATTTAGCAAAGCTAAAGCCATAACTACCAGTTGTGGGGCTTTGTCCAAATGTGTGGCAGGCCATGCTTATCTGGCTCAAGATTGGAAAATGTTTTTTTGAGATAGTGCCTTCAGGATCAAGTCCCTGTTAATGAGAGGGACACTGTCTCAAAAGAGCTGCTAATGAATCAGATTAGGATTCTTAATCAGCCACAAGAGAGGAAAATGATAGATGTTTGAAGCGTAAAGTGTATAAGTGAAGAAAATAGGAGGTACAGTCTGTTGTGATGTGGGGTAATAATTTGCACAGTAGAGGACAAGTTCTCTTGGGGTGATGGTATTCGTTTATATCCTGACTTGTTCAAAGTTTGTGGCAGTCCAGAGAACATTGATGGGTTGGAGCTGAGCTTCTTTATTATAAACATAATGGCTGGCCATTATCTTTAGGAACTTACTTAGATTTTCTTTAAAGTACAACTTTTCTGGTATTGTTAAGTGAATCTATATAAAGAATTAAATACAGCTATTCTAATTGTGTTTATTCTGATAATTTATCTCTCAGCTAAAAAGTTGCCGAAGAATGAACCACAGAATCCAGGAGCAAATTCTGCCAGAGGAAGAGGAGTAGACCTTACTGAACCCACGCAGCCAACCAGGAGTCAGTGCTGTAGTAACTAAACCTCCAGTTTAAACTAACTGGAATGTTCTTCTGCTTCCTAATTGTTAATAACAGTGGAATTGGAGCATTTAACCAGCCCAGTATGACTTCCAAAAAGAAGAGACTTAACGATAGTCAAGTTTCTAATACAGAATTATTTTAAGTGTTTTGAACTTAATTTTTAATAACATGCATGTGACCCTCTGACTAATGTTTCAGCAGTGAAAGGGGAAGATGAGAGCTGTGTGTACACTTATTTCCTTGGAATGTTAGCGGGACTCATTTCTCTTCACCAGGGATATAAACAGATGACTCTGAACCCACAGTTAACCAGCCAGTTCTGTGAAAAAGATTTGGAACTCACTCATTTGGGCTTTCCAAAAAAAGTTCTTTCTTGGAAGGAGGTTCTAAAGATATTTATGCTTAACTACGATATTCAAGCCACCTGTAATTTCACTTAGTATCCTTATTTAAAGTACACATTCCACGTTTTAACAAATTAGCCACAAGGAAACATTCCCACATCTTCAGGAGAAAAAAATGAACATCAGTGGCATCTAAATTATAGCTAGTCCTGTTATTTTTTAAATGGGGTAAAAAAAAAAAAAATCATATGTAACCCTGTCTTATTTTAGGAATATGAAAACTGATAAAATGCATCTTAAAGAATAGTGTTCCCTTCAAACATGTAAGTTCTTCAACAGAAATGAAACAAACCAGGTGTCTGTGATTTCTGTTTAATCACTGCTGGCCATTACATAGCTTTTGTTGTTTGGGAGTAGGGAGGGGCTTTTGTGCCCTTTGGACATAGAAATAGTCAATGCACTAACAATTATGTACATTCAAACTTGATTATTTCAAATTCGATCTTCAGCTGTACTGTAAATAGGGTACTGCATTGTAGTCTCCATATATGTTTATTACTTTTCTGTAATATTTAAGAGTTGCTTAAAAGTATACAAAATGTACAGTTACTAAAACAGCTAATTTTTTCCTTCTCTCCCCCTTTGAAAGGAAGGGGCTTGAATTGTTCCTACCTGGCTAGAACCATAATAAACAATGTACCAGTAATTTGTAACATAAGTATTGGATATGTTAGTAACAATCTTGCAGCCTTGTTTTCCAAAGTTCATTTTATTTTGATCAGTTCAGTATATTGCACTAATTGTTTTAGGTATTTTCATTATATGAAATCTACCATGTGTCAGAGATGATTTAATCTATTTAAATGTTGAACTGCTAGCAGAACTTGTACATTTACAGTAATTCAAAATTAGTAAGGAAAACAGTTCACCAGTGTTTAGTTTTATATTGAGGTGCTCAGGTTGGAATAAAGTGGTACAAAAAGCAGGTACTGGTTTTTCTCTTTTTTGGCATGAAACGGTGAACATATATAAATGGTACTGTATAACCCACAATCTGCTTTTATATTTCCTTTACTACATTCTTAAAAATGATTTGTGTGGTGTTGATGTTATCCTAGCATCTGGTTCACTAAAGAATTGTCTTCATGTTTTTGCTCTCTGGAGATACTCGCTTCCATTGAAAAGTGTGACCATGACTGTAATGTTGTCTCTGGAGCCAGCCGCCAAAGCAGCACTTACAAGTTCACGGCTGATATACTCAGCAGCACCTCCATAGAAACTCTTAGTGCATGATCCTTTCTCTTTTTCACTTGAGTCTTTTGGCACACCATCTACACTGGTTGGCCCATCAGCTTCTTTCTCACTGCAAGGATCACGCTTAGTCATTTTTGGTGGAAATGTTCCTATATTTTTAAGGTTATGAATAGAATATTTTGAATCTGACAAATTTTCTCTTGAATTTATAGTTGACACACGTTCTTCAGATTTGCACTGAAACACTATGTGGATGTTAGTTTCTGGTTTAGATGTGTTTTGTTCATCGATTGGGAAAAGCAGAGACCCTTTGGATGGTGACAGTTTGTTTCCTGTGATAGAACACTGTGCTTCTTTATATACTTGAAAAGCTGTCATTGTCAGTGCAGTGACTTCCTTTGTATCCAGAACTTCCCAGAGTCCATTAGTAGCTAAGATAAGGAATTGACATAAGTCATCTATAGGCACAGAAATAGTTTGAGGTGCTGGAATAATGAATTTTTTCAGTTTGAGATTTCCATGAAATCCAAGTCCTCGTGTGGTTTTTATTTGCCCTTGTAGGAGCCCGTATGGTTCATGTGAACTAATTATTGCTCCATTCTGAAGTACTCTTCTTCTTTCATCTGTGTTTCGTGTAGTGTGTTCTTTGGTTAGGCAGAAGCCTTTCCCATTTCTGCATAAGACTACTTGCACATTACCTAAAAGATTATTTTTAAAAATTGATCCTCGAGATTTATAACCATTTATATCAAAGCATGCTGTTAACTTCATAAATAGAAATCAGGCCGCTTAAAAATATTTTTAAAATATATGTAGTATTGATATCATTATTAGAAGATTTACAGTAATTCAGATTTCAAACGGGGGGGCTAATTTATTCATTTTTAAGCAATTTAGTGTTTAAAATACTGAATTTAGTACTAAAATAACAAACTACAGATAATGAAAAATAAGTAATTTTTTTATGAAGCAGCTTCTGAGTGTTACATATTTGTAGAATCAAGAATTGAACTTTTTTATAACCAACATATTCCATAGAGCAGACATTTTAAAAATGTTTTAATAAATGCCTTTTCAATTAAAAATACAAACTTTGATTTTTTTCTAAGAGTGCAGTTAGGTAAATTTTTAACTGGTCAAAGTTAAAACCTGAATATATTATAGGTATGGGTGATTAAAAAATTAGGAAGCCACTGTTAATGCCCATCTTATTAGGTTTGTTATGTGTGTTAAAAAGAAATTGTCAGCCCCGTGAAGAAAAATACGTGTTATTAATGTATTAAATGGATAATAGCTAACCAACATTAAACCCTTTGATTGAAAACTGAGGTATTAAAAATCTGATTGTAGTTTGTTCATGATTCAGATGAACCTATGATGTGTGCTTTATTAAAATCTTAAGAAAATCTTAACATAATGCTCTGAACAGATTGAAGGATGGTTGTATTACCAAAATTTTCTTTGGTATACGAAAAAGGACTCAGAATCCTTTAGTTTGTTAGGAAAAATTGACTTTCCCAAGTTTTTAGGAACATAATTGTATATTTATAATACCTATGAGAGTTAATATTGCTGGAATCATAGGCAAAATTTACGTTAGAATATTCTGATTTCAAACATGGCACTGTACCTGGAATCAGAATTTTGTTGTTGCAGGTCTTCATTTCTAATCCCCTAACGTTTTAGGTAAAGGGATTTAGGTTTCAGAAGGTAAGGTTCACACACCTAATATGTTGGACAGAGCCTGAGCTGGTGAAGCATTAGTGTCAGGCATAGAGTGAGCCTGTTGGCTCATTTACATAATGGGAATTGTTAATATCTGAGTTATTGGATGGGACCGAAAGATGACTGTGTGGAAAATATTTTAGAAACCTGATAGCTGTATAAATGATAGTCCTCAAAACTGAATGACCTCTTTTATTTGCGGTTTGGTTATTAATATATTCTGTTAACTTTTTCGCTGGTCATTCTGTTTACACTCTGCAGAAGAGAAATCAGTAAAATAATTCTTGACTTCTGCTGAGTTTTAAATTATTGTACCAGCAAAGCAGCATGGGTTGGTATTGAACATGCCAACTGGGTAGACTGAATTGTTCTCTTACGAGAACATATGGTTCAGTTCCTCTTTTAAATTAGAAAATTTCTTTGTGTACCTACACATACAAATAGTGCGACCATAGCTCTGGAAACACAGGGGCTCAGAATAGTCAATCCACTGACTTCTAAATGTTTTATTTGCATGTAGCAAGCCAAAGCTCACTCAGCAAAAAGAAAAAGCATTGTGTTTCTCCTGTGTGATTTGAAAAGCATTTAATGTGATTATGTAGTTACAGTGGAAGGGTAATACGTTGGTATTTTGATTTTAGTTGCCTCTGCAGAGAGCTTGGTAAACATCTTAGGTACTACTGTTTGCCTTTTTTTTTTAATTGCTGTGCTACAGAGTAGGAAATGCCATTTTCGTTGATTTTATTATTGTGAACATCCCTTAAGCTCAGCACAATAAAATTTTCTAGAAAATGAGGACAGTAAGTAATGGCTGCAGGTTTTGCCCTGCCATTGACTTGCTATCTGATTTGAGTTATTTAATTACTTGGACAGTTGATTCATCCTGATAAATGGTGCCTTCTGACTAACTCACATCCTTAACCTTTGTGAATTTGCATGAAGGAAGAAGAAAATGAAGGGGAAGTACCCAGTGTTTCTCAACTATTCGTGCATAGCTCAGGAAATAGAGGATGATAAGAGGCCCTGGGAGAGTATCAATGGAATAGAAATGGCGAAAAAGTGGATATGCAGAGTTAATAGTTCTATTTCCTGGACCTCGGGTTGCATGTGCTGTCAGCTGCAGTCGGGGTTGTTGAAAGTGGTTGTCTACATTAAGCTGAAAGCTAGAATAGAATAATGAACAAAGCTTCAAGGAAGATCGGAAATTGGAGGGAGATTTAAAAATAACACTGTATATCCATGTGTCTTGGAGAACTGAAGGAAGAGAGAGGAGCAAGACATGACAGTTTGAGAGATTGGCTTTAAAGAAGGGTTCCTGTAATATCTGTTTGGAGGAAATGAGAATAAGCAGTGAACTGTGATGAAGAAGACCTTTACACAAAAACATAATGAATCTGAGCATAAATAAGTATTCAAATTCCTAGACATAAAGTTACCAGCTTTCAGTAGTTAGAGAGATGGTGCTGTTCGGAAAAATGTTATCAAACAAAAGTGGAACCTGAAACTAACAACATTGTAAATCAGCTGTACTCCAATTTAAAAAAAAAAAGGAACAGTGTTACTGGAAGGGCAACATGTTTAAGGACATTAATGGGAACTAAAATGAACTGCTTTGAGATGATATTTAAGCCTTTTTAAGATGACACGTATGGGGGCTTCCCTGGTGGCGCAGTGGTTAAGAATCCGCCTGCCAATGTAGGGGACATGGGTTTGAGCCCTGCGCCAGGAAGATCCCACATGCTGAGGAGCAACTAAGCCTGTGCGCCACAACTACTGAGCCTGCTCTAGAGCCCACGAGCCACAACTACTGAAGCCCGCATACCTGGAGCCAGTGCTCCACAACAATAGATGCCACCGCAATAAGAAGCCCGCACACTGCCACGAGTAGCCCCCACTTGCCGCAACTAGAGAAAGCCTGTGCGCAGTAACAAAGACCCAACTCAGCAATAAAATAAATAATAAATAAAATAGATGACACGTATAGTCAGGCAAAGTGTTCCTTATGCAGAAGGCAATGACATAACTGCCTTCTGCAATTGCTGGGTTGTCTCTAGTTTGTGAAAAGGAGGAGTGTCCCCGTCAACTTCAGAATGACCTCTAGAATCAATCCCAAACGGAATTCTAGATCTGAATGAGCAAGATCTTTTTTTCCAGATGGGGCCATGAAGGTCATTTAAACGGAAGTTTTAGGAAAGGACTGGAGGAAAGAGTAAGAGAAATGTTATATGGTGGTGAGAAAAGGAAACATCCCTAAGGTGCACGAGTGCCCTGGATAAAAAGATGGCTTGACTTAGAAGCAGCAGCATGGGGAAGAGGAAAGTCTTGAGAGCTTGCTACTTGGTACTTCAGTCCCAGTTTTGTCTGTGTGACTTTCATTAAGTCACTTTATTTCCGTGAGTAACAATTTACCACCTGCAATATTTTTTGTCGAGTTTAAGAAGGTAATTTAATAAGTAGACGCTTGACAAAGGTTATTTTCCTTTCTGTTCCATGAAGGGGAAAAGCAGCTGAAGAGAGTCTATCCAAAAGAGATTGAGATGAAGCTATGAATGTTTCATTTCAGACCCATTAAAAAAAAAACTATAAGAAAATCCTTAAAAAGAGTTATAGGCTTAAGGGAGTAGGGAGCAGGAACTTGGAACTTGCGAAATGAGGGAATAGTTATTGGAGAAAGAAAAGGGAGCAGTTGAAAAGCAGCATAAACAAACAGGAAATTTAAACCCTAGTGAAGTATCCCTAAAATGGAAGCATAGTAGAAACACCTGTAGATGAGGTTAGGAAAACAACTTACATCCAGTTTTTTTCAGGATTCTAATTTTGGCAAAAGGCTGAAATTGTATTCATGGGTGCCATGTATTGACTCTTCCTACTGGTGATTAGCATGAGAGCCTTATTGATGTGGAGCTAGTTTTCACTGTATGTTCAAAAGATTCCTTCGATTGTTTTGTAAGATGTGTGAGCATGAAACTCAAGTTCACCATTTTCCAACTGGAGCCTAACAGTACTTCACACATCAGTCTCAACTATCTGTCAAATATTTGTTGATTATATTCTCAGAATCCAGTTTGTATGTATGTGAGTCCACATATATACAAACCAACATACCCCAAAAAAGGGAGATGGGGAAGGAAAAGTCTATAAAAGGTCAGTGTTGTTTAAGAATATGTATATGTGTGTGTGTGTATATATATATATATATTTTTTTTTTTTTTTAATTTTCCCCCCTGCTTAAGGTGATTCTGGAGTTGAATTAGGTTTTAGGGGAAAAAGATGGGGCTGGAAGTAATTATAAAAGCAACTTATTTAACCACTAAGGACAATCACATCTAGATAGGAAAATCACAACAAATTAAAAGATCTGCATACACAGCATCAGTTGTGAATGAGGAAGGTGAAGACACATAAGAATGAAGGGACACCTTAGAAGCAGGAAGCTGCTGGTGTTCATTTGAAGTAATGAGACTTTAAAGGACATGGGCTCTGGCTCACTAATGATATAACCATATATAATAAGGCTTTGGTGAGCCTCAAGCTTCTATTAAAATGGGATTATTCTTACCTCACAGGTTGTGAGGATTAGATAAAGGAGTCATTGTTAACCTTAAGAAGAGAGAAGAAAGGGGGCTGGAGGAACAAAGAATTGTGAGTAATAGGGAAGTAGTGGGTAAAGTCATGCTTGGCCTCTGGATCTAGAGTGAGCTCACAGGACAGAGAACAAGGACACTAGGAAAAAAAGGTAGTTTCTGGGGCCTCATTAAAAGAAGGTATTAACAAATATGTACAATCTAGACATAAAGATACTGGAATAGCAGATACACTAAAACACTCAAATATTACAAAGGAGCAGTAATGTGCCAGTGTGGGTCTTGGATTGACTCCCACTGAGAATAGGAAAATATCCTGGATAATGTATATACTTTTAAGTCATGTACATTGTTGAGCTAGTAAGAAAGTAAAGAATTCTCCCATCAAA